TTTGGATATAAAATTGGAAATAAAGGTTCATTCAGTTTAGTCAATAAGGAACTAACAGTTGTAAGAGTACAATCTGGCGCTTGGATTGATGCATTACAATTCTGCTTTTCAGCAACTGACTGTACACAACAATTTGGTGGTACGATAAATGGTCAATGGTCAGCTGAATTTAATTTAAATATTATAGGCAACTCACAGTTTTATAAGGTGTCGGGATTAAATGGAGCATTCATTGAGAAATATAATCCAAATTGGACTGTTAATACAATGAGTTCAATTACAGTATTATATAAGAAAGTCTGAAAAAAATTCATTAAGATTTTTAAAATATTTATAAAATATAGTTTAATTTCTTGTAATTTATATTGTCAACATTAAATTCTACTATTTTTCGCATATTATTTTATTAATAAAGGTTTTATTAAATAGATAAAACTAACTATTAAAAAAAATATATTTTGAAACTTCATCGATTTTCTATTGGTCGTAAGGACGAGACTCAAGTAAGAGAAAAAGTAATTTTACGGAAATTGTTTTCGAACAACATGACTTTTTGTATTGGCAAAATTCAAATTACTAAAGTCGAAGTTAAGTTAGTTTGATAAAACTTGCGGCAGTAACTTGTTTATATTTTATCCACATAAATGTTAAATTGCTTTTATAGAGCCTTTATTGTGTCCATAAAAAATTCTACCGTTTTTTAGCCATTATAGAGCTACAGTGAAGTGCAAAAATAGTTACTGATAGACTTTTCAAAGTCCTTCTCAGACAAGTATCAGATGCTATAATTTTTTAATATTGTTATACTTCCCGGATACTGTACTACACAAATATATTAATCATTATAACTTGCATTCTCTATGAGTTTAAGTAAATGAAATTATTGACTATACTATCTTCATTATCTCGTATCTAAATAAGAGAAAATAATTTTCTTTCTTGCGATTTAGTAGCAAATTCATATGCTTTTTAAGTTATTTCCATTGGTACTAAAAATAATCAAAAGAATTGTAATAAATTACTTGATTGTTTTATTTACTTGATAATGTTTAAGAAGTTCGAGTTATAATCATATATATTTGATGAATATGCAACAATTAGATGTTTTTTTATCTTTAAGATTAAAAAAAATGTCTGATGCAATATTTTACGAAGAAAGATTAATTTATTATTAAATATGTTTTCAATTAACAACAATTAATATAATAGTACAACAAACAATCGATTTATGTTATTATCAACGTTCCATTGAACAACAATGATATTAGTGAAGAATGCAAGTTAAAATGAAACAAAACAGGAAAATAATATTATTCTTATAGGAACATACTTAAATACAAAGCGACTTATACAAGCATCAAGGATGTGGATGAGTGCGTGTAGGTGTGAGCACCTTTTCTTTTGCCCCACATCCACACCCAGCCTTTTTTGGAATTCATTTACTCAATAATAATAAATTTGTAATATAAATCGAAAGAATAAATCAAATTAAAAAGATGGCAGCTGTTTATTGTAAGCATTCAATGACTAATAAAATTTTAGTATATCTTTAACGAATATATGATCTTTTTTAAAATAATATAAATACGCAATATCTTCTTGTGATACATAACGTATTCTTTTTATTCTACATTTAATTTAGGTATTTATCTTACAAATCTATTTCAATGTATTCACATGACATATTTTTATGATTATGTTTATTACCCAAATAAATAAAAGAACAGAAGAGAAATACTTGCAGTTTTAATATATATAATTTTACTTCCTTCTGTTCTGTTCTGTTCTTTAGTGACATCTAGTGATAATAAATATGCGTTATTTCCCTCGTCAAACTATAGAGCCATAGAACTCACGTTTATGTCCTCTTTTTATTCTGTTCTGTTGCAATCCATCTCTTAGTACTTATAAAAGTTGTTGTTGACGTTCAATTAAAAATAAAATAAAATATTACTTGTTTTACTATATTTTTCTTTCTTATTTTCATATAGTCTATGACAATTATATCCCTTGCGCTTAGTCAAAAATATGAAACGACGAACGAATTTCGACAGCATAAAAATACGAAAATCTATTCGACGCTCTCGTCTTACTGAGGGTATATATGGAAGGTAATTATAAGTTATTTATCTTTTATTAATACATTAAATTATCATTTTCTATTTTATTTAAAGTGCATTAATGTATCTCAAATTTATTTTTATTTGGGGTATAATAATGGCAGCTGATTATTTACTTGAATTTCGCTTCGAATATCTATGGCCATTTTGGCTTGTTCTACGAAGTATTTATGATTCATTTAAATATCAAGGATTAGTAAGCATGAATTTTAGAAAAAAATATAAAAATTTTTATTGTTTTATTTAGCTTTTCTCATTATTCTTTGTACTTATTGCATTCATAGCCGATCTCATTTGTTATATATTACTACCTGTTCAATGGCTATTTTTTGCTGCAAGTAGCTATGTATGGATACAATATGTTTGGCAAACAGGTTAATTATAGAAATGAAAGAATATCAGAAGATTAATTGTTATTTATTTTATAGAACGTGGTATCTGTTTGGGTACAGTTGTTCTGTGGGTGCTGTTTGTATGGCTTGAAGCATCAGTACGATTACGTGAAATTAAAACTATTGATCTTTGTCGACCATTTGCCGCTCATTGGTAAAATCGATTGATTGAATTATATTTAAAAAAAATGATTTCATTGTTATCTTCTAGTATCGGTTATCCAATGGTAACATTAGGATTTGGTTTTAAAACTTATCTTGCTTATAAATGGAGATTGGTAAGAAGAATTTTAGTGTATAGAAATTATATATTTTTTTCTCTCCTTATAAATAGAGAAAACAACGTGATGTAAGGAAAATAAATGAGTCATATATCCAATTAATAAATCAAGCATTACCAATTGAAGTTCAACAAGAAGCGGAAAAAGAACGATTAAGTCGAGAGAAGGGTTTGTTATTTATTTTTAATTGTTTTCTTTTTAATAAAATGTATTTTTCTATTAGGTACATTTACAGAATCTTATGATGAATGTACAAATCAATCAAATATTGATGGAAATTATTCGCCATCTTCTCCGAGTTCATCAATAAATAATTCAAATCTTCTATCTTCAGTACTTATTAATTCTCAAACACAATTAAATAATCATTCAACATCATTACCTTGTACAGTATCAAAACGTCCACAAAAATTAAACAATAATGATGATTTATCATCGACAAATTCACTTGTACAAACAACAGCAACAACAACACGTAATAATAAAATTTCCAATGGAAATAATAACGATGACGAATCATTATCAACATATAAACAACAGAAAAAACAGTTAGTCAAATCTTCAAATACACAAAATACACAAAGTCGAAGACAACAGAAAAAACAAGAAACAAGAGAACAAATACGTGCTACATCGAGAGATTCATCATCATCATATAATAATGGTTTTGGAACGACTACATCGATTGAAAATTCAGATATTGAAAAAAAGTAAAGTTCTTAGAAGATTTTATTTCTTGTAATAGACTGAAAAGAAGTTTAGCATTTAATATGTACAATAGAATATATAAATGATGATTATTCACTTCGGCGCATGACATTTCGTTCCATTATTAGACGATCTCATTTACATTCCATTCCATATGTCGACAAAGACCAATTTTTATCGTTATTCATCGATAGATATTGACTAAGAAAAAGTTAGTTCGCAGCTGTGGAATGTTTATTAACGAGTTACACAAGACTTGTCGCCATTGAATAATTATGTTCAGAGATAGTATCGTACAATTCTCCTTTTTCTATCAGACGTTTAAATGAAAATATATCAATTTTAATTCTGGATATCTATGAAAGTATTCTTTAAGTAACACGAATAGTTTCTACATTTAGAACATTCTTTTATATTAATGAGATAGAACATATTCAAAGATATTCTTGCTATAACAATCAGTCATAACTATGTCAACACTGATAACATTAGATAAACCATCACAAATTGATTAGTAATCAATTAGAACGATATCTATTAAGAGAGCTATTTTGCTATTCGAAAATACCTTATATAAATATTATTATTTTGTTTTAGTCTTCAAATCAGTAAATTAGAAGGTGATATTCAACGATTGAATCAATCAATTGAAAAACAAAAAAATTCCGAATTACAATTACGTACTCAATTAACAGATTTGAAAAGTGTTCGAAAAGATCTTGATGATTTACGTGCAGAAAATACAACATTACAATCAAAGTAAATTTGCATAGAATTGATTTCTTAATATTTTTGTTGTTGTAATCCTAGATATGAATCAGTTAATACTCAACGAAACCGTGATAAACAACGTGTAATTGAACTTGAAAAGACTGTTAACGAAGAAAAACAAAATCGACAACGATTAGAATCACAAATAAAAACTGAAAAAACTTTAACGAAAAAACTTCAAGATGATTTAACTAAATTAAGTTTAATACCACCAAGGTTCGTTTTTTTATTTTCATTTAAAATTTTATATTTTGTATTTATTATTTAGAAGTGAATGTACAGAACAATGTATGAAACGAAGACGTGATCAAGAGAATGAAACAAGAGAAATGCGAAAATTACTCAATGATAAAGATGAACGTATCAAGTTACTTGATAATGAAATTAAGGTAAAAAAAATCAATAGAAATTTTCTCATTGAAGGAAAAAATATTTTCTTGTAATTGTCCGTGGAAAGTCAATCGTATATAATATAAGAAGATGGATGACTGTTCTATGTAAACAGTAGAGTTATAATATCTATTGCGAGTAACAAGCAGAATGATAATATTAGTAGAAAGAATTTTAATGATACTTCTTGTATTAGAGACGAAGTAAATCTATGAGTGATTTATAGAAATCTTTATCAATTAAGATGATAAATATAATATAAAATTTTTTTGTTTCTTAATTTTTAGACTCTACTAAAATATCGTGAATCTCAAGCAGATACAGAAGTACTCTATCAACATTATTCCCAATTAAAAGAACGTAATGCTCATTTACAAGATAGTCTTAGTGCTGAAACACGAATAAAACTTGATTTATTTTCTGCACTTGGTGAAGTTAAACGACAACTTGAAATAGCTAATGGTTTGTAACAATTGAAATTTTTTTTCAAGAAGAAAAATATTTTTTTATTTCTCAAATTAGGTGCTATTCGAGAAAAAGAACGTGAATTAATTGCTGCACTTCATTCCCAACATCAGGTTAATACTTGTTTATTTAATGGTCATCGTCAATCATCTGGACATTCATCACCAACAAATCAA